GTGTGTGTGTGTGTGGCTATTGTGAATGGGATTGTGCTTTTTATTTGGTTCTCTGCCTGCGAAAGCACTTAAAAAAAAACAAAACAAAACACAAGCCTCAGAAAATACTGGCCACCACCTTATGTTCATCTACTTTAACAGTAACGGTGCTGTTGAAACTCAGAGACAATTATTGATTGAGAACACAACATGGAATGGTATGACCCCAGTGAATCAGTGAATTGCGGTTTTCAGTAATCTCCCAATAGCTTTTTAAGGTGAAGGTTAGTTTCTTGACATGAACCTGGAGCCTCTCTGTAGAATCCTTATTTTCACTCTGGCCTGGGCTTGTTAAAATCCAGCCAGCAGACTAGCAACCATACTGCCTTCATCTCTGACCAGTTAACTCCTTAGTAGCCAAACTCCAGTATAAACAACCATGTCTCTTGGTTCATATTGTAATCCCAGGCAGGTGCGCTCTAAGATAGACTCAGTTGGGTATTAGGAGTCAACTTTACAAAGAGCTCATTTGTTAAATACTCTCATATAACTCAGAGGCATCACACATTGATCCTGGTACTTGGTTAGTGCGTAGCTCCTCCCAAAGAGCTCATTGTCTGCTATTTTAGAGAAGAGATAATACTGGGCATTGTTTTTATTGTTTATATCTGATTATCTTGCCTGTTAATTCTATTTGGTTTGCTTTCTGTGATTACATAAATACTCCATGAATTTCTCATGTAGGCTTTGATACCATTCAAAGTAATTGTATGCCATTATTTTCAACAGTACCTCTTTTTAAATTTTCTTTTTCGCTTACCCCATTGCAAGAGTTTATTTATTTTATGGTGGTAAATCCGTATTTTCAAATTGTTTGTATCTCTCTCTCTTTTTTTCAGATAAGCTTTTTAATTTGATTGTAAAATGCCACATGGCAGGGAATACTCCTGAGAAGATGAATTTGCGTGGATCCAGGAAAAATGAACTATAATCAGGACTCTCTTCTTATATTGAGTAAGAGCGACAACTTCCTTGAGTCTCTGCTTCTTCATCTTTATTATCAAACAGGAATAAGATTATATCCTCTTTGAGAGGAAACAATATCATGACATGTGTGATGTTACTGCAAGAATTAGCACTAATTTGAGAACATTATTTTTCTCCGTCTTTGAATAAAAGCCCATTGGAATTGTTGATAAAATTTTTATGTTCACTCAAGCATGTTCTTGCCTTAAGGCTGGAATAGCATATAATCTTCTGTGTTGTTTACTAAAAACCTAAGACTTTCATTTGGCTTAAAACTACTGTAAGTAGAGTATTCTGGAGGCTAGACCTGTGTCAGTTTCATGTCATAGTAGGAGCATTTTTAATTTCTGTCTTTAAAAGCGATACAAGTGCTCTTGTTTTCCATACCACTTTTCTTTCCTATACGTGAATTTTCAGGATTACAATAAAATAGAGCTAACATTCACCAACATGTTTATCATACAGAATCCTTTACACGTTGTAAGTGCAAAAGCCCAAATGGTGTTGAAATAAAGAAAGTCAATACCATGTCTTATAAAGGGCACACATCTGGGGATTTCATGTCGACTTGTCCTTAGCTAGCTGCAAGCATTGGCACAACAGCTTCTTGTGACCTTTTTGCTCATCTGTAACACGAGCATAATGACCATGTTTGTAGTTTGTTTTTGTTTAGAAGATACTTTTTAAAACCTAGTTTTTATTTTTGCATGCTATAACTATTCCCTCTGTGGTTTGAACTTTTAAATTCATGATTGATTTCCAATATCTATTACAAAATGTTTTTCTTTTTCATTTGAAATACATGAAAAATGATAGAAGCATGAAATCCACTAAACCAAAGATAAAACAAAGCCCAGACTACAGAGGTGAGAAGTGTCTGGTCAGCAGGAGTGGTTGAGTGAGGTAGCACTCTTCCCTGTGGAGCCCAGTTTTATCTTTCCCGTCAATTAGTACGATAGGAAAATACTTGTAGTGTTCGATGATGTCTTCCACTGAATCAAACTTCTGAAACACAGACAAGATAATGATTTTTAAAATGTCATTTATGTCTGTAGGTTAAAGCACAGTTAAGGTGCTCCATTTTGCTTAGGAAAGATGTGGATCAATTTAACCATTTTTGTATTGCAAAGGTATTTCAGAAAGTGATTTTTTTAAAAGAATGTTGCAAACAAATTCTTGAAGGATTACAGATAAGGATGGTAAGACAATAAGGGAGAATAAAAGTGCCTGGGGTGGGTGGGAGTGGGAGAAGACAAAGGGTGAACCCTAAGGCAGCTCATGAAGTTTCCACCTCTGCATTTTCCCTGGAATCAGATCACTCTGGTCAAGCTTCATTCTTGTCATCACAACTTTTCTATCCGCAGCTACCCAGCTGGATTGTTAGCACAGCCATCAGCCAGCAGTATCTCTGTAGTCTCCCTGACTTCTATGACCAGCAAACATGTAGACGTCCTAGGCTTGAAACACCCAGTGAGGCTTTCCCCCAGTAAGTCCTCTTATTCTGCCAAACTCTAGCATGTGCAGAGAGAATGGTGACAGCCACTAGGTGGCCTAGCCAGTTTAGAGGCTCTTCCTGGGCTGCTTGTGAAGTAATGAGGTGACAGCAGATCCGAGTGCACCTAGAGACAGACAGACCAAGTGCTGCGGCAGTGTCATGGGAAGTATGATGATTTCAGGCTTAGGGGAACCAGAAAGTGCTTCGTCAAGGACATAGGCTTGAAATGGGCTGTGTGTCATGGGTCATTTTAGATAAGTAGACAAGGAGGGTTAAAGATATTAAAATCAGAATGTACAAAGACAGGTTTGGAAAGGACTTGAGCACATCCTGTAATTCTAATGAAGTAAGTTTGGATGAGTTCCTGAAGGAGACTATGGGGAGATAATTGCTCACCTTGCCTCTGTGTTTTCAGACAATCTTGAAACAGAGAAGGGAATTGTTATTCAGAGAAGTGGCTTGACTTGCTCAGAGCCACACAGTCAGACAGTCAAGACCAGGAATGGAGCCTTACTTTTCTGGTTTTGCCTATGGCTCATGACCTCTAGTGTTCCAACAGGCCAGGGTAAGGTAGGTATGACACAGCCTGCAGGAAGGGGGCTACAGTATGGTCTACTCTGATTATGATTTAGTTTTGTCTATTCCATCCTCTACCTAGGTATCCTAAGTGCAGAATATTAGAAAGCCTCAGGGTATCTGATAGGAAAAGAGACTGGCAAGGTCCCTGTCCTCATGAAGATGACATTCTGGTGGGGCAGGTGGAAAATAAGTTCTGATACAAAAAAATGCTTTGGAGACAAGTGCTGTGAACATTATCAGTGCAGGACTCAGGAACCTCACTAGGTCACCCAGGGGCTTCCCTTGGTGGCCACATGTGGCTCCTGAGAGGGAACATTCTTTTTTGTTAGAGAAGAGCTAAATTAAAAGGCTAGAAACCTGTGACTTCCACAGTCATCTCCTCTTGCTACCATCAGGTGAGGGTGTGAAAAGCAATAGATACTGCACTGGGGGCAAAAACTTGAGGAAATAATATGGAATGATGGGTCTCTTGATGTCAACCAGTCCCTGGATCTACTTCATTCCTGTACTTCCTGGTTACATGAGTCAGCAAATCTTTTCTTCTTGCCCCAAAACCCATTTGAGTTGGTGTTTTCTTTTTAAGCGAAACAAGTCCTGATTAAATCTAAGTCCCTTGCCCCTCTGAGCCTTTTACTGGATCCATGACAGAGTTTTCACTGTGATAACCTGTGTGTCAGACAGTCTTAGTGCATTCAGGCTGTTATAATACTATAAACTTGGTAGCTTATAAACAGCAGAAAATTATTGCTCACAGTTCTGGAGGCTGGGAATTCTAAGATCAAGGTGCTGACAAGTTCACTGTCTGGGAAGGACCCACTTTCTTGTTCACAGGTGGTGCCTCCTTGCTGTATCCTCACATGGCAGAAAGGGCAAGGGTCTCTCTGGGATCTGCTTTTTAAGGGTACTAATCCCATTCCTGAGGGATTCATCCTCATGATCCAGTCACCTCCTAATACCATTACCTTGGGAGTTAGGTTTTCAACATACTAATTTTGGAAAAGCATAAACATTCAGATCCTAGTACCACCCCTATTAGGTATACAGTAAATGTGAGTTTCTACTGATGCTAAGGGAAAGCAGTTTATCAGTTGTCCAATGGGGATAGTGTTTTTTCTACCACAGTAGAGCAGTCGTGATTCAAGGACCTGTGTAGTGTGAGTCTAAAACCCGGCAGTCCCCACTACTAGCTGTGAGTCCTGGGGCAAGTTTACGATGCTCTTTGTACCTCAGTTTTTCTATGAACAAGGTGGTAGAGTTAGGACCTACCTCTGAGCTTCTTTGTGAGAATTAGTTGAGTTAAGGCATATACAGTGCAATATTTCGAAGAAAGCATGACACAGCAAGTGCTCAGTAAATGTCAGGCAATGCTATGATTTGCTCCCTTCTAGATTTGCGTGAGCATCATGAGAAAGCCATGGACTCACCAGAGAAGTGTATAGACCATTATTGTAAGCCTTTAGGAAGAAGAGGGTTTTCTGTATTTCATTTCCAATTTTAAACTAAGGACAGAGTTGTCTTCCTTTTACTTTATGCTTGATGAAACAAAAAGTAATTAACAAACAGAGACTTTTCATGTAGAACCCTTCCACAGAATTGGTTTACCCACATTGTGACAAGGAAATCTTTTGATATCAACCTTCAGAGGGAAAGTGCTTGCTTTGTATTCTCATTCCTGTTTTCTTTAGGATTGTCCTAGAATAATAAATTTAATATTGTTTTAATAATCTGTATGGTTGGCATTCTATATGAATAGCAATTTTAACAGGTAGTAGGAGGTAAAGTGAGTGCAATTAATCATCCCATCATTTCTTATTACTTGTTTCTAGTGATTGGCCACAACAGAAATATTGCCACTGCAGCTTTGACCTGCTAGGCTCAGGTGATCCTTCCACCTCAGCCTTCCAAGTAGTTGGAACAACAGGCGTATGCCACTACGCCTGGATAATTTTTTTTTTTTAATTTATTGTATAGATGAGGTCTCGCCAAGTTGCCCAGGCTGGTCTCGTACCCCTGGACTCAGTCAGTCCTCTCACCTCAGCCTCCCAAAGGGTTGGGATTACAGGTTTGAGCCACTGCACCTGGCTCCTGAAGTGACTTTTTAAAAGGTTATAATTAAGCTCTTGCTTTTATATTAAGTTATTTTCTCAAAGAGACAGCAAATGTCATCCAAATATTAAATTTTAAAATCTGCTTAAACCTTTTATATTTGTCCTACGTATGAACTGTAGGCAATATTTTTTGCCAGAAAAGTAAATAAGTTTGTTTGGGTACATACATAAAAGTAAAGATGGAAACAGGTTGAAAAAGAGAAAATACCAAGAGAGAAGGAGGAGAAGTAAGCAGACAGGGGAAGTGGGTTAATTGTTAGTATCTGTCTACTAGTCTTCAAAGTTTAATGAATCAAATAAATATCTGTGATAATTTTTAGAAACACATAAACACTTGGAGAATGAGGAATGGTCTGGTCATTGAAATTGTTCCCTTCTCCAATATTTCACAGAAATGTTAACAGATATGAATTAGGAGGCCAGAGCACAGGGTTGATGTTTGGCAGCTGGCCACTGAAGGCAAATGCCTCCCTGGCTGGCCAGGGCTGGTACTGGACAGTCTCACCATGCTTAGGTGTCTGCATAGGTCAGCACGGATTAACAAGGTTTCCCTGGATGGCAGGGACTCGACCTCACTTCATTCTATGTTTCCAGAACAGAGCATTCAGAATTGGAGCATTGAGCGTACTGTAGACATAAAATTAATGCTTGGCCAATAAATGAGTCAACGGGCAGGGGGCTGAATGATCTCCACCCCCATATGTCCAGGTCCTAATCCCAGAATCAGTGAGTATTACCTTATGTATCAAGAGAGTTAAATTATTTTATGTGGTAGAACATGAGATTGAGTTAAGGATCTTGAGAAGGGGAGCTTCTCCTAGGTTGCCCTGGCGGAACCTAGAGCCAGTCACATGTTTCCTTATAAGAGAGAAGCAGCGGGAGAGTCTAGTTGGAGAGGAGGAGGCGGCAATGTGAGCCCAGAGGCGGAGACTGGAGTGAGGGGCAACCAAGGCAGCCCTGGACTACTGACAGCCACTAGAAGCTGCAAAGGCAAGGGAAGAGTCTCCCCTGGCGCCTGCAGAAGGAATGCGGCCCTGTTTGGTACCTTACTTTGGGGCTTTCTAGCCTCCAGCACTGTGAAAGAAGACATTTCTGTTGTGTTAGGCCACCACGCTTCTGGGGAACCTATGCTTATTAAGCACGTGCCTCTTCGTGTCTGCTGCTGTATTTATATCATCTCATTTTGTACCCAAAATAACTCTCATGAGTTAGGCATTGCTGCGTCGTCCGTGCAGTTTTGCAGTTAAATTCTAAAGTTGCAAGACGGCTGAAAAACCATGTGAAAGTAAAATTGTCCTTAAAAATGCTGTTTCTCATGTTTTTCCTGCTGAGTTGAGTGAAGATGCCATTTCTTTACGTGAACGCTGGATGAAGTAGATAGTTGTTGGCTCGTATTTAGTGAAGGCTTGCTGTAACAAACTCTTTTACCTTTTCAAAAAGATGTGAGATTCTGGGGAGGGCCACAGTGGCTCATGCCTGTAATCTCAGCACTTAAGGAGGCCAAGGCAAGTGGTTCGCTTGAAACCAGCAGTTGGAGACCAGCTTGGGCAACATAGCGAGACCCGATCTGTACAAAAAAATTAGCCGGGTGTGGTGACATGCTCCTGTAGTCCCAGCCACTCTGGAGGCTGAGGTAGGAGGATGCTTGAACCCAGGAGCTTGAGGCTACAGTAAGCTATGAGCTACAGAGTGAGGTCCTGTCTCTAAGAACTAACTAAATAAATACAAATAATAAATAAGACAAATAAAGATGTGAGGTTCTTCCTCAGCAAGGTAAAGGGCTCAGGCCGTGTAAGTCAGGAGAGAGCTGAGCAAAACCCAGACTGTCCCACTCTTACCCCAGGGCACAGCTCCTTCAGAGGAAAAGATAAAAGAACCACCAGGACATTGTGATTTTTCGCCCGCTTCCTGGCACATGGTAAGCTCCATGTTCACTGTCTTCAACTATGATGTCACTTGCAGTGTTTTCACACAGGTTAAGCGTTGTTTGCATTTGGCCATGACGCTATCTGAGACGTTTTGGTGTCATCTGAGATGCATAAGGATGTCAACATTTCTGCCAAGTGTGTTGAATCCCAGTCTTGCCGTTTACTAGCTGTGAGCTTGGGCCAGTTACTTAACATTTCTGTGCCTCACTTTCAATGTTTGTTAAGTGAAGATAGCAGCAGCAACTACTTCAGAGAATGACCATGATGATTTCATAGATTGAGTTAGTTAATAACTAGCTGCACTGCACAGAATAGTGCCTGTGGATATAAAACGTTGCTAGAATGCAGACTTCTATCTTTCTTCATTAATTGATTGGTGTATATATATTTATACAGAGGTTGCCAAAAATGTATATACATTTTAAGAAAGGGAAAAACTATATTAAATTGTAATACTCACTCTACACCGATAACACAAGATGAATACAAGTCATGTTTGACTTCTCCAATTACAAAAGGTGCTCAAATTGGTTACCATCAGTGCCCAGACACTTCTGATTATGGTGAACTATTGCAGGGCTTGCTGGCATGCAAGGCCTTCTGGATCTTCCCTTGTGTACATCGCACAGTACCACGTGTCTCAAACTTGTCACAAATGCGTTCGATTGTTAGGCGTGTTGGAGGTTCTGTTGCATGTACGTGGCTCCATTGTTATTGTACTTCCACAACATCCTTGAATTCCAAATGCCACTTCAAAATGATCTTGGGCTCCTTGAATGCCAGCCATGCTTCTGCCGTTTTCTTTGATGTCCTGCCTGTTACACAGTGACACTAGCATTCATTTGATAAATGTCACCTTTTGAGTGAACATCATACTACACATTGCCACCATCCTTCAATTAAACTTCAAAAGGTAATACATAGGTAACATTGCTTAAAATATGTATACATGTTTTTGGCACTCCAGTATTATTAATATGCTTTAACTTAGCAGTCCCCCACCTTTTTGGCATCGTGGACCGGTTTTGTGGAAGATAATTTTTTCACGGACAAGGAGCAGTAGATTTATCAGACATTAGATTCTCATAAGGTGAGGGCAACCTAGGTCCCTCACATGGGCAGTTCACAATCATGTTTGTGCTGCTATGAAAACCTAATGCTGCTGCTGATCTAACCAGAGGCAGAGCTCTGTTCCCTGCTTACTCCCTGCTGTGTGACCCGGTTCCTAACAGGACACGGACCGGTACTGGTCTGTGGCACCAAGGGTCAGAGGTCCCTGGCTTTAATTGACTTATTCTTTCACCTATGTAAATGTATGTAACTGGTCAACACATACATGAAAAAGAAACTCTTGCGTGTGGTATACAAGAGAGGAGAAAACTCCAGATTAACACAGAAAAAGGTTTCTGAAAACAGGCATCTGATTCACTAAGAGGTTCTCGGTGACAGTTATTAGAGCAGCCCATCTGGAAGTGGAGGGCCTAATCTGGCTGCCATAGTTCCTCATTTGCCAAGGCAGTCAGTGAACCGGTTGGCAGTCTGATTAACGCTATGAGGGTGTTATTACAGCATTGCTCTGCTTTCTCCCTTCTATTAGCAGACCAAGGTCTGGGATGTAGGGAAGAAAAAAGCTTTAACTATGTTCAGGTCTCAGTTTTCTCACAAGTAATAGGAGTTCAAGACCCAGTGAGAAAGCAAATTAAACAGCATCGGGCCCACACAGCATACTGGAGGGTACACAGTGTCCATTTCCTATATTCTCTCAGGAAAAGGAACCTTTAAATCCAGGCATCTAAAAATCACATAAAGCTTTCTTAAAGCTGAGAAATTTTGTGAACTGGAGGGAAGATACAGAAGAACAAGGGAAATTGAGTTGGAAAGTCTATTTACATAGGTTTCTAGGAGGTCTATATCCTACTTATTAAAGCGACTCAGTAATAATAAAGAAAATATAATAACTAACATTTATCATGGGCTTGATAGATTCTAGGCACTGTTCTGAGTGATTTACATTCATTAACCTAACAATCCTTACCACAATGAAGAATTGACCTCTTCTCTCTTTAGTTGTGATATAACATTTTAAAAAAGCAATTGTATTTGGCAGATTTACATTTTAATCTGCTGATGTACTCATGCACTTGTTTATGCCAAAATGTTTTCATGCTGTAACAAAGGCTGGTGAGCTGACCCCACCTTCTTCTCGATGGTGCTGGCGATTCCTCTCCAACCACGTGTGATTCTCAAAAGAGGGCTCTGGGTCACACACTGGGTTTAACAGGATTTTTATGTACATGCCTATCTGGAGCATTTTGGCAGCCCTGGTAATAATCCTTATTTTGTTATCTGTTGAAGAACAGAATAGATAACTGTGTGAAAGTTCTAGTTTTATTCTATATTTGTTTGCTAAGGCTCTCCTAACTAAATACCACAGACTGGGTGGCTTCGACAGCATTCACTTTTCACAGTTCTGGAGGCTGGAAGTCCAAGACCAAGGCGTTGGATGGGTTGCTTCTCCGGAGGCCGCTCTCCGGGGTTGGCAGGGGCTGTCTTTTCCCTGTGTCTTCAAGTGGTCTCCCTTATGTGCATGTCTGTGTTCTAATCTCCTCTTCTTTTAAGGAAACCAGTGGCATTGGATGAGGGCCCACCCCCATGACCTCACTGAACCTTAATTACCCCTTCAAAGACCTTATCTTCAACATAGTCACAGTCTGAGGTACTGGGGCTGGGACTTCGTGTGTGACATTCGGGGAGTTGGGAGTGGCACGGTTCGGACCATAACCTACACCATCAGGTAGGTCTGGAGATGCTAAATGGAAACCGTTGAATTATGGAAGTCTAGACTTTAAAGGAACATTTACATTTGAGGAACTTAAAGCCCAGAGGTGTTAAGTGACTGGCTTGAGCTCATATCCTCAGGAAATGGTGACTCTTTCCTTCCTTCCTTTCCTTCCTCATTCAGTCTCTCCTTCCCCCTCACTTAATACCTGTGTGTCTCTGAACATTCACTTAATTTTCTAAGCCTTGGTTTTTTACATCTAAGATAGGAAAGATCATGACATCAGAGAGTTGTTGAAGATTAAAATAAGATACTATATAATAGACAGGCTAGGCTGTGGCATACACATTCAGTGAAACGTTTCTTTTTTCTTGTTGACTTACTTATGAGGTTATTAATTAGTATTTTAATTGATCCATTCTTCCACCCAGCCGCTCATCAGTAGTACTGAGGACAGGCATACCCAACATAGCCGAGATGCTATGACTGAATCACATTCATTTTGGGGACACAAACCTGCAGATAATAGACTCTTACAGACATCAGAAATGTCTGCAGTTGGGCATTTCGTCATGGGGAGGGGGAAGAATGTGGCGTTCGCTTGGGCTTCTGCGGGGCTTGCTGGGAGGCAGAATTCAGATGTGTCTTGTGGAGTTACGCCTCAGAGGCGAAGCAGGATAGGAGTGCATGGAACGGTCAGGACTGGCTGCTGGCCTAGACTGAAGTGTAAGACAAGTGGCATGTTTGTGGAAGGGGAAGGAGGGTCAGATAGCATCCCCCTCCTGCAGGGTGGCACTCTTTTCTCCTATCCTGCTGCCACCTAGATGTGAAGACCTAATCCAGCCAGCATTGTCCCCCAGACTCTCCCTTTATTTGTTGCTATTAGCTTGGAAAAGGGAATCAGTTACTTTATACTCACCTCATTTCCTCTGAGTCCTGTCCCCAGGGCAAACTGCTGATTCCTCTCCAGGAAGCGGATTTTCACATTGTATACTCTGTTCCCGTAAAACACCACCAAAACATAGGGTTCCTTCCTGGATTTTGTGGAACAGTCTCGGACCAAGAAAGTACCATCCTGAAGCAAAAGGAGTAATGGTCACCCAGGCATGTCAGCATCCTGCCTTTGTAACAGTAGCAACAATGAAGTTTGCATGTGTGAGTTTCCCAAATGGGCTTAGTTTCTGGCAAACCACTTTGATTCAGTACATTTGTATTGTCGGTAAGTATAAGGTCTTTTGCTGTGTTCTGAGAAGTGTATCAGTTGGCCTATGATACTCCCTTCTTCCGAATCTTCCATCATCTTCTACTGGCCTCGGAATAATACCTACAACCTTAGCATGACATTCATGGATAAATGCACCAACTTTTCTGTGATTTGATCTCGCATCGCTCCTGCAGCTTCCTGACCCTGGCTCCTGGCTCCAGCAAGGCCACCGTTTTCTGAAGGCACCATCTGCTTTTTGGGTCTCAGTTTTTGCTGTGCGACTGGGAGAAGCCTGCTGGGAGAAGCCCTCCTCCTGTCCCCTCGCTAGTGTGTCCCTCTTCATTAGTCCATGTTCACGTATTTCCTGTTCTGCCTGATACTCAGATATTATCCTAAAGACAGTGGGAGCCATCCCAGGCTTTGAGCAGAAGCTTTAAACCTAATAAATTGCACTTGTAAGGAGAGATGTCAAAGCAGGACTAGGGTTGCTGAAAGACTGGGGCTTCAAAGTCATTGATGTCGAAATGAGTAGAACTAGAGGAGGAAGTACAGCTTGAGGAGAGGCAAAGGCAAGTGAAGAGCCAGCGAGAGGAGGCAGGAAAGGCCTCAGACATGTCTGAGAGATGGAGCAAAACCAGGAGCTTCAAGATTGCGGAAGCCAAGAAGTGCAGAGTAAGGGTTTCCAAAAGGTCAATGAAAATGTTCAGTGGTCCGAGGGCTGAGGATAGGAGTGGTTGGGACTGGCTGCCAGTTTGATGGGCTGAAGTGCAAGACACGTGGGGTTGTTTGTGGAAGGAGCTGGGAGGGTCTGATTGCATCCCCCTCCTTCACGATGACTCGGAAATAGCCAGCACATCCCAGGGAATAGCTCAGGATGACAATAAGGCCCAGACAGAGGCTAAGAAATGAAGCCAGCCTCCTGACTAGAAACACACCTGCCAGGTTTAGTTATGAGGTTACATTGTGTCATTTACACGATGAATAATATTAGAAAAATCTGTAACCGTAATAGTGTGGATTTATATAGATGGTTTTAAATGATGTGTAAAGAATAGATATTAAAGTGTAAATGTTGTATATAATGATTTACATTTATAATTAATTATTATATGTGATTATCTCTATACTATATAATATCTACCTATAGCTATATGTACATATAGGTGTTATATAATTATATTTTCTATAATTAATATTTATATATCTAAAATGATAATGGTATTATATAATAATACCATAAATATACTGAGTCTATAAATAATACTACATTATAGTGATGCTACGGTGATTCTGTCAGCTAAGGTATATTGAGAATTGCTCTCGAGGTACCAAGCACTTTACGCATGTCGTCTCATTTGATCTTTACATAAACTTTGTTTTTTGAGTTGGAGTCTCACTCGGTCACCCAGGCTGGAGTGTAGTGGCATGATCATGATGATCACAGTTCACTGCAGCCTTGGCCTTCTGGGCTCAGGTGATCCTTCCACCTCAGCATTCTGAGTAGCTGGTATACTATAGGAATGTGCCACCGGAGCCGGCTAATGTTTCTGTGTTTTTGGTTTTTTTTTTAGAGAGACAAAGTTTCACTATGTTGCCCACGTGGGTCTTGAACTCCTGGGCTCAAGCAATCTTCCCACCTTGGCCTCTCAAAGTGCTAGGATTACAGGAGTAAGCCACCATGACTGGTCCGATCTTTAAATCAATTTTGAGGGAGATACTTTACACCAATTTTACAGGTAAGGAACTGGGGTCTAAGAGCTTCAGTGAATCCCCTGAAGCATCACAGCTAGGATGGACTCCTAAAAGTCAAACCTCAACTCTTAATCTTTAAATGCACCCTCCCCCCTGAGTGTATACGGTGGTCTTGAGGAATGTTCTGGAACTTGGTGTGCCTAAGACATTTAGTCACACTTGAAGCACAGAGCATTGCCAAAGATCAGAAACAGAGAGGAGGACACAACTTGTGGCCAGTTTGGGGATTATCATCTTAAAGTTTGCAGTGAACTTGTCAAAATGAGTCTGGAAAATCCTCTAGTTTAAATTAAATTTTCATAAATGGAAAACACATTTTGACAAAACTGTGACTAACAGAAAAGGAAAATATGAAGTCATTCAACTGAGATTTTACTCTCTTGACATTTCTTGGGAAGAAGCAGAAGCAGATACACAGAAGGAGAGGAAGGGAGCATGTGCAGAGTACCCAGTACTGCCGGAAGGACATCTGTTACTGCTGCTCTTCTGGCACCAACCACATGAGGGGTCCTGGAAGCAGGTCTACTAAGAGTAGTTTTTCTTGTAGAAAACAACCTCCGAGACTGCAGTAGTGCATCGGGCACTGACTAGCCAAGAAAGAGAGCCAGGGCTGGATTCTACCACCACTGGCTTGCCGTTCTTCTGTGGCATGGCCACATTCCAGGGAAAGAGAAAGGAGAGGCCTTGAGATGAGGCACCAGCTTGATAGGTTGGATTCTACCACCATGGCTCACCATGGGACTGTAAAGAACTACAATCCCAGCATTTTGGGAGGCAGAGAGGAGAGGATTGCCTGAGCCCAGGGGTTCGAGAACAGCCTGGACAAATGAGGGCTGTCTCTTGGAGAGAGACCTCGTTTTTACTAGAAATAAAAAAATTAACTGGGCATGATGGTGCACACCTGTGGTTCTAGCTACTTGGAAGGCTGAGGCAGAAGGATTACCTGAGCCCAGCAGGTTGAGGCTGCGGTGGCCATGAGCATGCCACTGCACTCTAGGCCTGGGCAAGTAAGAATTCTACTCCAAAAAAAAAAAAAAACCCAAACACACAACTGCAATGGCCACTAGAGACAGCTGTGGTTTTGTGAAAAGTGCCCTGATCTTGAATATATGTTCTGTCACTCTTTCTACTTTGTGACTGAGGCTGGCTTAGTCTCAGTTTCCTCATCTAGGAGATAGAATAGCTCCATTTTTTCTTATATGTTTCAGGTACTAGCGGCAGTACTGGTTTCCTGCTGCTACTGTAACAAATTGCCTTGAAATTAGTGGCTTAAAACAAATGATGTTGCAGTTCTGGAGGTCAGAAGTCTAGCATGGATCTTGCTGGGAGAATCATTTTCCATGACTTTTCCAGTGTCTAGAGGGCACGAGAATCCCTGGCTTGTTTTCTTCCTCATTCATCTGACTTCTTTTAATTACCACATCTCTTTTCCTGCTTTTCTCCTGTAAGGACCCTTGTGGTTACATTGAACCCGCCTAGATAATCCACGACAACCTCCCCATTGCAAGATCCTTCACTTAATCACATCTGCAAAGTTCTGGGCATTAGGATGTGGGTGCTTTGGTGGGTGGAGACATGATTCTACTTACTACAGCAAGTTACATATCATTAATTTAATTTTATTTTACAACATCAATTCTGAGAGTTAGGTTTCGCTAAAATTTTTGGAGCACTATCATTTATAGTTCTACTCTGAGCAGACCTTGAGGAAGGAGATAAACCTTGAACAAAGTGGAAGGAAATCCTTCCATTGTGACCTCTATATCCCAGATTCCACATTTGATCTTCACAGTAGTTCCTTAGAATTGATTTTACTATTTTCTGTTTTACTAATTAATTTATTCATTTTTGTGTTTTCTTATTCAACAACGACCATTTCACTGATTAGCTGAGGACAGGTTTTGAGGTTGCATCGGTCTTGAGAGATTCTCTGTCACTTCTAAGCAATCTAGTATAGTTCTCTGCACATATTAGCTACTTAATAATGATTGGCTCTTTGACCTGATGGTTGTGGTATTCATTGACCTGATTATAAATATTCCAATTATTTTCTCCTTTAGGTCACATGGTAGGTTTGTGCTATCCCCCTTCTTTGAAGTTAGGTTTGGTTATGGTTTCCTTTGGTTAATGATATGTGAGCACAACATTCTTTAAGGATGTGTCAGGAGCCAGTGCATGAAGGTAGAAATACACCTCTGAGATGGAGCCTCCAGCAACCTCAGTTTACCTACTCAAACCTGTTTTGAACATGGAATACAAGCAAGAAGTAAAGTTTTGTTATGCTAAGGATCTCAGACCTTGGAGCTGTGCGTTGCTGCAGCATAAACTATTATATCCTGACTACTGCAGCATTCTGTGCACTTTTCCTCCTCCTTTCCCAAAGAAGTGAGACATGAGGACAAACCAGACCCTGGGCAGACCTTCAGGAAGGAGACGAACTTTGACCAAAGTAGAAGGAAGTCCTTCCATTGTGATGTCCATATCCTAGATTCCACATTTGATCTTCACAGTAGTTCCTTAGGATGGATTTTACTATTTTCCATTTTTCAAATAAATAAACCCACATGTGAAGTTATTTGGAAACTTGGAAAGGTCACACAGCTGATAAGCAGCACAACCAAGCCTCAGATTTGAAACTCTCTGTTCTTTTTTTTTTTTTTTTTTGAGTTGGAGTCTCACTCTGTCGCCCAGACTGGAGTGCAGTGGCTGCTCCCGGCCACCGCAGCCTCGACCTGCTGGGCTCCAGCAATCCTTCTGCCTCAGCCTTCCAAGCAGCTGGAACTACAGGCGCACGCTACCACACCCAGCTAATTTTTTGATTTATTGTAGAGATGAGGTCTCACCAGGTTGCCCAGGTGGGTCTCAAACCCGTGGCTCAGGCAATCCACTCACCTCAGCCTCCCAAGGTGCGGGATTACAGGCTGAGCCACCGAGCCCAGCGGAAACTCTCCATTCTTAAATTGCCTTTTTAATCGCCACCTCCCAGCATCGAGAAATACAGGATTAGGCAAGAGCTACGTCATCAAAGCACACAGCTCATTGCATCCTGTGACTTATGAGCAGAAGAGAAGGAGACACCGATTGGAAAAGTAAGGGCAGGCCCTGCAGAAGGCATTACCTGGTTCTCCTTCATTAATGCCTCTTCTACTGCCTGGCGACTGTATTCTCCAACGTACCACTCGTTGTGCTGGATATCCTGCAGTACAAGTTCAGTGATGGGTATTTTAGGGTAGTACTAATTTTGGTTAACTCATTCAAAATTTACCTTTGTTCCACCAGAGCCCACTGTTTCACAGTACTACAGGAAACATTCAGTACATAAAATTGAGTCCCTGAACCTGGGAAGATAGACAAAGGAAAAGTTACAGCAACTAGGGAATTCTCAAGATGAAGGGAATGAGAGAGTGTCATTGGCAATAACCAGAAATTGCACTCCACCAACTGAGAAAGGCCGTTGGCACGACCCTCAGAGAGATAATAAATCTCCACCTGTCAGTACTTCCTGATTCTGCACCTGCTGAAGCTTGTTGAGGTGGGATGCAAATTGTTTGTAAGCCTGCGCTGCCCTGGTCATCATAAAGACATCTGGAGGGAGAGATAGGTGAGGAGGGAGAGCAACTCTGTGCCAGCATGGCAGAACTGGGTGTTGAATCCTGGTCTGCTGGCTTTTTTCCTGTGCCATGCTACCTTATTTGTATCAGTGCTAAATGATTATAAAATTCACCATAATAGAGAGAAGAAAGGGCAGCCAGGGAGATATACCCTGGACCTTTAATGCCTTCATAGGGTTTTAAGAATCATAACATTAAATAACCTCCCTCATGAGTCCAACATCTATAGACCCTCCTGCCTTCAGAATTCCAGTCCATCTCTACAATTCTTCTGTGAGGTAATCATGTTAAGGAGTATTAACCTTAGTTAAAATGGACAGTGGAGGCTCAGAAAGTCGTAATCTGTCATGAGTTAGGAATGAAACATCATGGCTTTGGTCTTTCATTTAGAGTCTCTGGTCCTTCCAGAATAAACCTGCTTCATGCAACAACAGGCAGACGAAGTGCATATGGACACCTTCCGGAAAGGCATGAACCGGCTCCAACTTAGCCCTGCAGCCTCACTTCCTGCCTCCCAGTCTCAGGACATGAGTCTGGCCAGCTGAATGTGTTTGTTCTCTGGACACACCTGGTTTTAGGGCTTGGTAGGGCTAGCCCTGCTGCCTGGAACCCTTACCAGTCCTCAACTCTCTGCCTGCCCAGCGCGGCCATTCTCTTCCATCAAAACTGGGACTGCTGGGCTCGGTGGCTCAGCCTGTAATCCCGCGCCTTTGGGAGGCTGAGGTGAGTGAATTGCCTGAGCCCGCGGGTTCGAGACCCGCCTGGGCAACTTGGCAAGACCTCATCTCTACAATAAATCAAAAATTAGCTGGGCATGGTAGTGCACGCCTGTAGTTCCAGCTACTTGGAAGGCTGAGGCGGAAGGATCGCCGGAGCCCAGCAGGTCGAGGCTGCGGTAGCCGGGAGCGGCCACTGCACTCCAGTCTGGGTGACAGAGTGAGAGTCCAACTCAAAAAAAGTAACTGGGACCAAAGTCACCTCTTAACTGAGGTCGTCTTTGCAACAAATTCTTCCACCAAGTCCCTACCTCCAGGGGAGAGTTGGTTCTGGGAGAGCGCAGCAGGAGGACCGGCTCTGCTTCACTCCAGCAAAGTCATATGACAGGTTCCAGAGCCAGAGATGGACTCAAAGCCCCATCTCCCTGCTGCAGTGTGAGCTCTCTGAGACTGGCGTGGTCTACTGAGACAGGGGGCTTCTTGGCCAGATCATGGATTTGGCAGACCTCAGTTGTGGTGCTTTTCATCTGTTCTGATTTTATCTATTTGTCCGAACTGGAAGACATTTAAGAATTTTCCAGTCTTGTGTTTCTCCAGGTGTGGCCGCGAGGGATGGCTGGTGAGTTCAGGTGGTGCTCAGAAGCAGTATTTTATAACTCGCTGTTATGCAAAGGTGGGAGAAATCCTCCCTTTCTAGCTTCCTGAATAGCTCAAGAGGAATGTTTGATTTTGGAGCTGGTACATCCTTAACATCTCTCTGACATTTCTAATCTCTTCTTCAACAGGAGATGAGCAATCCTGAGGCTGAGAGCCATTAGCAGATTAATAAGATCCTGCTACAATCTAATAACCTCATAGTGTTTGCCTCCTGATGACTTTCCAAAACATTGTGTTGAAATATAATAACATAAGACTCATCATTTAACCACTGTTAAGGTACGATTCAGTGGCATTAAGTGCATTCCCATGGCTGTGCCACCATTGCCATTATCCATCTCCGAAACATTTTCATCATTCCAAACGGAAACTCTGAAATTCTTCTTTTTTGTTCCTATGAGTTTGCCTATTCTGGGTACCTCGTATAAGTAAAATCATATATACATTCTTCTGTGTCTGGCTTATTTCACCTAACATAATCTTTTCAAGTTTCATCTATGTTGTAGCATGTCAGAATTTTACTCCTTTTTAGAGCTGAATAGTGTTCCATTGTGTGTATAACATTTAATGTATTAATTGATTTAACATTTTGTTTATCCATCTGTCAATGGATATTTGGGTTCTTTCTACCTTTTCACTGCTGTAAACAATGTTATGAACATGGGTGTTCAAATACCTGTTCGAGTCTCTGCTTTTAATTCTTTTGAGTATATACACAGGGGTTACTGCTGTCCTTACTGATAAGGTTATTTTCTATTCACGGAATATAATACTTTTAAAAAAGTTTAGCATAGTGATACAAAATGAAAACAGAGCTAATGTAAAGAGTGCTAAGCAAATGTTATTATTGATGTCACAAATCATAAAAGGGTATTAAATTGTGGAAATCAGGGAAATTCTAATCTAGTCCAAGCCTCTCTTGTGCCTATGAGGTATACCACGTTCTGGAAGGGTATTCTGATCTTGGGCAGACATCTAGTTAGAACCAAGAAATTCTTCTGCTTATGAGGTAGATCAGAGCAAAATCAAGCCAGGTACATGACAAAGGGCAATAAAAGAGATATGCACAAAGATTTCCCAGAGTCTAATTTAAGATTACGAGGCCCTTTTTAGAATTAGATTGAAATTAAGATAAATATAAGGACAAGAAAAAAGCTTTAGGATACCATAGGAATTATGGGGAACTGACCAGAGATATCCTATATGCTCTGCTTCTACTTAAAGACCTTCACAAACTCTGTAGTAGGACACCGAGTAGTAGCAGGATATGGGATAAAGACCTAGAAGAAGCATGTCCTCCAGGGCTTTAAAGCGAAAGACTTAAGTAGCATCTCAAGATGATAGAGGAAAAGAGCATACAGTCTACAGTGAAAGCTTCCCCACCTCCCAATGTAATGTGCAAAATGGCCCAGGAAGAACTTATTGGAGGAATGGAGCATATCTTAGAAAGAGAACAGAAAATAGATGCACAAACAAGAACACCTCTAGTATCTGTTTGCTTCTGCTTCTTTAGGTCTCCCTGGGGTAGGGGCTATAACCTTGCACATTGTCTGCACATAATAACTGTTCAGTTAATGGACATTGGACTGTTTAAATGAAAAGAATATGTGACATGTGTTTTTTAGGTTGAAAAAGGAATTGCAACATGTTAATCCTAGTTAATTCCCCACAAAACTATTGAACAGCCAGTAAATATAAAGCACAAGTCTAATTATTTCTATTTTTTAATTTATTAAAAAAACACTTTGAGAATCCAGAAATATGCAGGTTAAAGACTCTGGTGAAAGAGCATAATATGTCATACAACAAAATACTTTAACAAATACTATTACAACCCAATAATGTATTGCCTGAAGGAAATAAAAGTAAACCAAATGCAAATAATCTCTTTTAGGGCATTATTCAGGAAAGCTCTATGTAGATACTGTGTACATCTGGAAGGACTTGGCAGAGAAGTGTCTGTTTTACCTTGTCATCGGACCTTGTGGGGAAAGGTTTTCTCCAGCTTGTGCTTTTGTAAGGTTGCATGTTTTCTTGAGGGCCGTGGCTGGCTGGAGACTGGCACCTCTGAGGAAAATAGGACTGCAGACTTCCTTTATGATCTGGGAAGGGTAAAATTTGCAATTAAATATGATTTGGTCCCTGGCTCAGACTGGTTCCTGCCAACATGGAGTGGAAGCCCATCCATCTGTCTGTCCCTGGGGGACCTCAAGTAACTCAATGCCTGTAGGCCCCGCTGCATTGTCTTCTGGCTTCAGCTTTTGCCCTTTCCCTCGCTTTCCGTTGGGCACCTGGAGTCAGTCATCTTTTATTTACTTTTTTTTTTGAGTTGGAGTCTCACTCTCTCGCCCAGACTGGAGTGCAGTGGCCACTCCCCGCCACCGTAGCCTTGACCTGCTGGGCTCCGGCAATCCTTCCGCCTCAGCCTTCCAAGTAGCCGGAACTACAGGTGTGCGCTACCACACCTGGCTAATTTTTTGTTTTATTGTAGAGATGCGGTCTCACCAAGTTGCCCAGGCAGGTCTCGAACCCGCGAGCTCAGGCTATCCACTCACCTCAGCCTCTCAAGGCGTGGGATTATAGGCTGAGCCACCGAGCCCGGCTTCAGTCATCTTTTAAAAGTGGAACTTTTACTTTGCGACTTGCCTTGGAAAAATTCCTTCCGTGGTTTTCTTTCCACCTCCAAGAAAATGAAAATAAGTTCCTTCTGTCCCGAAGGCTCCGAATGGCCTGTCTTCCTTACTTGGCCATCCCTATCCTCACCACTCCCTCAGGGTGCACTCTGCTCTGACCATAATGAATTTTGTTTTTTTCTTAAACCTACCAAGCTCATTCCTTAGGAAACATTTTTTTTTTTTACTTGAAAGAATAACCTTTTAAAAATGGAACATCGCTTTCTAAACTTGAATTAATGACAGACAAACTATTGTTATTTAGACTTAACTATTTGGTACATATTTTATTTAAAATGCACAAAGTGAGTCTGTCACTTCATAGAAAATGAGGGGCAATATTTGTTGCCAGTCATGAAATTAGACCTAGCTAGTGCAAACTGGAATTTGGGGAAGCTCCTATCCACCATTGTGACATAGTAGAATACCAATGCTTAGCATATTCTGATAAGATCATGTGGTGCTACTTGCCAGGATGAATTTTTAAAGAATATTTCATAACAACATGTTAACATTGGAAGCTCTGGTCATGTCTGTGACAAGTTATTTTCCAAGTGACCAAAACACAAAGCTGCAAAATCGTGCCTGGATGAAGGATAAATTCAAGTACAAGATAGACCATTGGATAGACCAGAATACAAGAAATTCATTGACAGAACTTTGATTTTACATGGCATCTAAGGTTTAGGATACTACCCTTGTCGAATTTTAATGTGGTGTTGTCTCTATGTACTTCAATCAAAATAACATATTTCCTTTGTATATCCTTCCAGTAAACACTAATAAAAGAAGAAAAAAATCAAGAAATTTAGACTATAAGAATAGAAGGAGGTGTAAGGAGAAATGCCAAGCAAACATTTGTGAACATATTGTGTGTGTGTGTGTGTGTGTGTGTGTGTGTGTGTGTGTGTGTGTGTGTTTGGAATTGAGGTCTCACTCTGTTGCCCAGACTGGCTCACCACAGCCTCGACTTCCTGGGCTCAGGTGATCCTTCCACTACAGCCTCTCAAGTAGCTGCAACTACAGGCACGTGCCACCATGTCTGTTTATTTTTTTCTTATGTTTTAATTTTTTGTAACAACGAGGTCTTGCTGTGTTGCCTAAGCTGGTCTCAAACTCCTGGGCTCAAGCAATCTTCCCATCTTAGTCTCTCAAAGTACTGAGATTACAGGCGTGAGACACCATGCCTGACTGTGTCGGTAACTTTAAGCAAGGATTAACTATTTAAAAAAATAAAACTTTTAGGATATTAAAACAATATGCAAGTAGAATACTTGACAAAAATAACTTATGAAAAGAAGTGATCAGTGTGAAGATGGAATTATAAGCTTCATAGTCATAATTCATTCTAAGAAACATAACCAAACTTTCAGGCCTGACTAGTAGCTTAACACAAACTTTGAAAGAATTAGCTACTTTTGAGTAAATTTTTGAGATGAAATACTAAATAAAGCATTAGCAAATATTTACATGCCAGTTGCCACAACATTCAGATTTTCTTGGTATTTATTCTGCTATTGTTATCAAAAAGCCAAATTTCTTTCAAAGTTTACTAAGAAAACAAGTATTACTCCTGATACATTAAAATTTTTGTGTCAAAAAAAAAAACAGTTTTGTGCCTTTTTACCGTTGAGACTAAGAATGTTTGTTATAAGTGCTTATGTATATCAAATATTTGTTGCAGATAACTCATTGCTTAAAGTTTAAACTACATTTATCACAGTAAGTTAATTTCACCCACCTATTTATGACCTTAAACATAGGAATAAAACTAGAGAAATCCCTGTTTTTAAAACCATATCTTATAAGTAAAAATTTCAGACATAGTGAAGAATCCACAATATCAGAATGAAAGCACTCTAAGATTTTGTATTGTTTGGAAAGAAGACTTGTGCTTCATATTTACTGAATTCAAGCATGTTGTTATTTAGATGTTTAGGGTAATCAAAAGAAGAATAATTGGAATATATAACTTCCAAGAAAGAGATAAAGAGATAAAAGGAAGATAAAGGAGAGATGAAGCTAACATATGACAGAAAAATAAACAAAAAGTCAATACAGTGCATGGCAAATAGGAAGCACAAAACAGCAAAAGAATAGATCTCAAATAGACTACTAATAGGTTCCCAAACATTAGTAGTCACAATAAATATCAAGGGTGAAAACTTAGCATTTAACAATTCCAGTTATGTGCTAATTGCACATCTAAATTATAATGACATGGATATATTGTGAGTAAAAAGATGAAGCCGGGCTCGGTGGCTCAGCCTGTAATCCTGCACCTTTGGGAGGCTGAGGTGAGT